GAGGGTTGTCAAATTTCCAAGTTGCATCAGGAAAGCCTTTGAAACGACTAACTATTTGCCTCCTCTGTGCCAAATGTAGGTGCTGATCGACATCCGGAGAACACCATTGAATGTTTTGGGCCGCCAGGTGAAGGGGTAAGATACTGCTTTCTAACACTATCTAGATTTTATAATTTCCTGTTTAAAGTCTTGCCTTTTGTTTTATAAAATAGAATACACACAATTTGCGCGGGACTGAGGCCTATGGGGACTGGCAATGGAGTTTAGCAGATTCTGTGGACTTCACAACAAAAATTTTCGCAGCTATAGAGGTACCTCAGAGTTGTGTTCATATACGTTAATTTTACTTTGATAAAAATTAAACAGTCCATGTATTTGTTGTGTTGGTCTTTTTTTCATTTGTTCTGGTTCCTTGTTTGCGAAGACTCCTATAATCACTGCAAAATCGATAAGCTGTTACGGTACAATTCATATCCTTAATTGCTTCCAAAAAAGTCCCCGCGCGAACACGGTGTTTGGTGTTATATGTAGGAATGCATTCCAGCGGACGCTAGGTGATAACTCGGTTCCAATTTTCGCAAGAAAAATACACGCAACCACCGACTGAGGCATGACCGTACATTCATCTCGACCCGATCTGTCAACTGCCATAGGTGGCCTTCCTGAGGCTTTTTTCAGTACGCCTAGTGGGTTGCAACATAAATATCTTGTAGCATTAAAATCATCTTGCATCCTGAATACAGATTAATTCAATCAATTTTCATAATACTACTGGCGATCCTCCTTCACTCCAAAGTAGTTTGGTAAATCTGTACAAAATTCTTTCTGTCCTGTTCTGATAGCAAGAACTCTTGCCTCGCAGCTGTGCCATGCAGCCGCAGCATGTCGGCAAAATTGGCATCTGGGTTCTTAACTAGTACCGGGTGCTGCCAGTATGGTAACTATTTATGAAGGATATTTGCCCTACGACGAAGGCCAAAAGGTCGGATGTGATCCTCCTTCAGCGTTAACACTCAGCTTTCACTGACTAGTTATTTTCCAACAGAACAGTTGAAGACAGGGCCTAACTGAATAACAATGGTCCTCCTCACAACTGCCTCGCACGTGACTGTGCTCCCATTGGCGTTGTTGTTTTTGATTCAAGACTCACCGTGAACGTGGATTCTCTGCGTTGGTTCTTTGATCACCAGCTAAACGGACTCCAGCTCGCTCGCTCACTCATGCCAATTTCTCCTTGTGTACTGATGTCGGTGATGCTTACTGTGATCCCGGCAAAGCACATGGAATAACTACCAGGGTGTGAATAATAACTGTAAGGCAGAAAATATTTTAAAATAAATTATCAGTGTG